CGAGTCTCCAGCTATCAACCTCCAAACTACAGGATTCGTCCGGACGCTGAAATTATTTTCAGAGTAATTTTAAGTTTATACATTTTGTTGTATCCGCATTATTTATTTTATTGTATCCACTATACCATTCATATGTACTTCAGTAATTTCAAATTCAATTTCAAATTTTGTAAAACCTTCTCCAGCTTGATAATGAAAATTGTATTTTCGCAAACTATTAAAATGTCATTCGGAAATCTGCTTTTCGATCTCCCGACGCCAGCAAGAAATTTGGTTCGACTCATTGAAAAAACGAACAAGAAGATTGTTAATAAAAAGCATGCTCTGGTCTTCAATCAAACTTGCATAAGAGAAAAGCTTCTGCCTAACTACACCAATATATATATAAATATAATATAATATATCTGTTTTGATAGGAGGGTTATTTATTAGTGCCCAATGTTTGATCCTTAAAATCTTGAATGCCAAAGTTTTCAATATCTTACCTGCATTGAAAACTAAATGATTCAATTGTGGCAACATTTAAATGCATACCTGCCATCCCGCTTCCGGGGCGCGCCTATATAGAAGCACTTCGTGTGCGCATTTATATATTGGGATCCATAAGGTGGGTATCATTTGCGAGCTTAGTTTGTGAGATTTTCAATACATGATGAGCGCAGTTCTGACACCTAATGGGTTCTACAAAAGTCTTTTCTCGCCCAGTATGCGTTCTTTGAATCTTCACTCAGGTTCCGACCTGCGCGTTTGGACTTGTAAAAAAATTTAGCCGGAAACTAAATTATTCCTGGGACCGTAAACCTCAAAACGCCATGCATCGATTGCATCTTAAATTTGCGCTTTCTTGAGATAATATCTAGAACTGGTGTTCCTCTGGCGAAGGTACAATTCCCAACATAATAATGAGGAACACTCGCTATCACTGACATTGAAGCAGTGATGGCCAATAAATTCGTAATTTTAGGCATACAGATGAGCAAATGTGGCATGCTGTCGGGGCCCATTCGATGAATAAATGATATATAAATAAACCCGTCAGTGGCCAGCAGACATTTCCTTATGATCGTGTCTCAATAATTATTGCCATTAAGAAGGATGAATAAAAACTGAATCAATGAACAAAAAAATAATAATTTAAACCACTTATCAATGAATACAAAAACAATAAATTAACAAAACAAAAACCGTGAGCTTTCTTTAGGCCGACTAACTATTTTCAATAATGATAGAAGCAATTCTTATATCGGAGCCTTTCTGCACATACAAAAACGAAAACACAAAATTAGAACTAATGAAATAAATAAACTAATAAACGCAGAAATATAGCACGGATGACATATGATACATGAATAAATATAACTACAAATGAGCACTAAAAGATCAATAAAAACTTCACTTAAACACCAGGGCACTGTCAACACTGAAAATAAACACGACTAAAAGAACCACGTTCCTCTGTGGTGGAACCGCACAAACGAATGACAAGATATAGCTGATTCCTACGCGAGGTCACGTCAGTGGTGACTAAAAACCTAAAATAGAAATTACTAATCTAATATTTACAATAACATACGTAATCTAATATTCACAATAACATACGTCCCCTTACAATGCATAATGTTAATTTGGATAATGGTACATCAGCTAATTTATCCTGGACGTGCTCCTGGTCAAGATATTTTTTTCCAGTCGCCCAACTATTGTAGAAAGCTCGTAAACGGTTGATAATTGTAACAGGTTCTATATACACAAATTGAGCACGAGCTTGTAGAAGAGGCTGTGCAGTTCTTCTGCTCCTATAAACTGGTCCGATTTTCTGGCAATTTCTACTATCTTTTCCTCAAGAAGTTGAAAAACATAATTAAATTTGAAAATAAACTTGGTTTAAAGGATGAAATTTTCTGCGTTCTTCGTCGCAGAAAATTTTTCTTTTCGTCCTTCGAATTTGAATCACACAAAACTGATTAAGTCTGGTTTCGCTGCTTGCGTTGGTCGCCCACATACGACCCTCGATGACTCGTTCGATTCAACAAGTTTAGTGAGAAAAAGGACTAAATCACCCAGAATGACTCTTTGAAATGTCATCTCGTCGCGGCACGAACTAATTTTTGGGGAAATAAAGTCTTGCACTTACATGTATGTATTAAACCACGTTGTAGCGGGGAACCACTAGCATGTTCTGACCGTGATCGAACGTCTACTGCACGTTGCGTTGTAAAGTGACTAATAATATAATGGGAGCAATGCAAGGGCATGAACTCAGTATTTTAAAGACTTGTCAAGCGCAAGTTATTTCTAATTTGCACGGATCGTTCACGTAAAGATAAATAAATAGGCTGACCTGAATTGTACATTTGAAACCTAATACAGATCGTTTTAACTCCTAAAACACTTTCGGTGAGTAACGTACCAACGTTCAATGACGTACATGTTACGGGATGCATGCCGGAGGCCAGCATAGCCCAAGACCAGCATATCTTTCATCCTCCTTTCCGTGCGTAAGCCTGCTAAAGGTCAGAGTAGATTAAGGGATTACAAGTTAAAAGCCAAAGGTACAAATCCCCTTCATGGAAATTAACCAGCGGGCTAATGAGAAGTAAGCCACCAATACAATCGCTCTACGCCGTAGTGAAAACCGTCCAACAGCTCTATCCCATGCCGTCTAACCTCCTCACGATTTTCGGTAAGCAACTTCCTACGCCATACCGCTGTTGATACACAGTCAGCACTCCAGCCCGTCCGTTCGTCGCAGCTGTTTTCCCCCGCCATAACTCTACCTCCACGCTTACCCCGTCTCCCCGCCTATTTTCACCGACTGCCGAACGGCTTTTCTTAGTTTCTACTCACTTGACTGCATTACGCTATGAAAAGAGGATCTATACGAGTTGTAAACTAACTTAACCTAACCTAACCTAACCTAATTCGGATAAGCATCAAAGGTCTGCGAGAAAAGCTTACAGTTAGCCATGCGATAATGGTGGAGAGTCGGGGTAAGTGTGGGGGGAAGAAGATGCTGGGGGATAGTAAGGCCGGGAAACAGTGACGCTGGGTTTATGTCTTGCGGAGTAAGTAAGGTGATGACGCATTACCGTTTGGTACAGTTCACATTTGCGGCAATGCAGTGTGGTCAGCGGACACTTAGGATAACAGCATGTGTAAGAAGTGATGGTATGGGTTATAAAGCATTGAAGAACAACGTATTGACCGTCAACTATGTATAGTAGCAGCTTGTGTGCTGAAGCAGTGTTGGTTTAAAGTTCGTGTGGTGAGATAGGACAATTGACTACAGCTGCTTATATGCCATGATGACAATATCTACAGCATTTAGATGGTTGATGTTGGCTCCAGGGCTGATTTGAGCGTTAATTTGCTGGTCTACGGCTGCGCACCCCATGTTACGTCTCTATACGCCGTCTGTGGTTAAAGTCCAGGGAATGTCAGGGATTCCCCTCCTAACTTGTCTCCTGGAAAACTGTTCGCTGGTACTATTGTTAACTGCAGTACTTTCAATTCTAGCACAACTGATTCACTTGCTGATTGGTTTCAAGATTCTCTTGCTGACTGGTTGCAGATAACAAATTTAAAGATAATAAGACGATGTTATGCGCAATGCAACATTTATCACTGCACCAACCAGTTGTCATGATGTAAGCGCGACGGCTATACCTGCCGCTCTTACTTCAGCGCCAGTCAGACAACCAAACTTTAACCGTGCAGGGAAGTGAACGTGGAGAATTTCTTTCGCCCAAGCACCATAAGTCCACATCGTAGAAGTCCGAAGTTCAAAAATATCGGCTGTGCCGCACACCAAAGACGTCAAATGTTCACGGGAAAGATTAAGTTGAGCACGCATGGTAACAGTAGAAGAGCCTCTCCAGGGCGGAATTATCACAGATCTGATCCGATCGAGATCACTAAGTAGGCTCTTTGAGGCTTGAACATTGAGAAGTCCACACAGAAAATCACTCCTTACTTGGGGGTGAATGAACTGCATCAGGAGAGACTGCAGCTTCAAGACATCACTCAAGTCCACTGAAGTGGACGTACCCGACCGCTGTCTTTCCAGTGTGGAGCTCCGCTCCCGTGACGTATGAGTGCGGTCGTCAGGTGGTGTACAACCCTGCTGCACGGGCAAGTCGTGGTTGCTGGCGCCAAACATATCCGAGTAGATAGCAGTATATATCCCGGACAGGCCCCCAAAATATGTAAGCGCGACGGCTATACCTGCCGCTCTTACGTCAGCGCCAGTCAGACAACCAAACTTTAACCGTGCAGGGAAGTGAACTTTGGTAGTCTGACGATTTATTGGTAACACAGGCACTGGTAAGTACACAAAATACTCGGAATGAACCCAAAAACCCAGCGGATGGCACCGACTGAATCTATTGTTCGTGGTAGTGAACTAATAGGATTCTGCAACAAAAATAATAAATAAACTTAAGATATGGCTAAAATACTTAACTTGAAATATTCCTAACAAAATAATTACAATTCACAAATATTACAGCACAAATTTAGATCTCATAATATAACTATTCACAAATATCACGCACAAATTTACACGTCACAATATAACCACTTTTCACATAAATTCACCAACAGTGAAGCGCAAAGTGCTTCACGACTAACAGAATAAAAGTGACGCGTATCGAATGATCAGGGTGAACAGACTTTTTCTCTAAATGAAAATGCTAGTAAAGATTGACATGCAAAAACATTATTGGAAAAATGGATACAAATTTAACAGAACAAATATGAGGAATAACTGTTGAATGATCGCAAAAAAATTATAAGGAAAATCGCGGTACAAAAATTAGAGACGCAAGAGGCGCGGCTACAATGAGGTGGATGTTGACTATTAATATTTTAAATACACGTCAGTACGTCAATCGGGTAATATCCATAAATGACGAACTTCACAATTCGAGATGGGAAAAATTACCATAACTTCCCTTTCAACCTCTCACGTCTGATGGTCTCCTCCGTCTCTTCCGGTACTATCTGTCTTCTCCCGCTCGCATCTTTTCTTTTTTGAAAAACTATTAACACCGCGAGAATTATCGCACACCGGTACAGAACCCTACAAAACGCAAAATTCACCTTCTACAGTAATATAAACATGCTAATTTTGAAATAAACAATTTGCTATGAATAAAATAATCTCAATAATTTAGTATTAAAAAATTCTAATATTTTTTACTTAATAATTTCTGATGCATAAATATTTTTTATAATTGGAGTCTATTCCATTACAACGTGTTCTTCGAACTGAATTTAAATTAGGCCGAATGTTCGAAATGAAAACGGTCTCATATCAATTTTCAAAATTTTTATCTCAATATGAAAAACATTGTTCGTGTCGTCTAAAAAATGGTTTCAAATGATGAAATTAACATGGAACGAACTAGCTTTGCGCATGAGAAGTAGCTAGCTTAGAAAAATCTCGAAAATATGTAAAAGATTAATCCATGTTCTGTCGGGTAAATAATTTCAACTAAATTTCAACTATTGATTGAAAATATAATATGAAATTCTATTTTTACATTATAGGTTTTCGCTACAATATCCGATTATTTCCTAAAAAATTTTCACGTTCGATTCGATCATATGAATTTAGGCGGAAGATTTTGAACAAACATTTTAATTTTCATTTCGATTTTTTACTTGGAGTATTAATGCCATCCACCTTTGCTCTCAGGAGTTCTTCGCTCAGGCCGAAATTCGGACTCCCCAAAATAAATTATCAGAATACTTCCCACGAATGAGTAATAAGGTAAGTGTCTGTAATTAGGACATCATCCAGTAATGTTTTTACTGTGTAATGTGCTCACCATAAGTGTCTTTTTTAACAAAAAATACTGAGGTCACTTGATGGGAGTAAGCTTTTCGGGCGCTTTTTATCTGGCTCAAGGTTCATGGAAAAACTGTTTCTCGAGAAGTAAATGCAACCATTTATATTATGGGCAGCATGGTGCTGAGATCCGCGGCCTAACAGCATTGTGGAACGGAGGAAACAGGCCCACGCTCTGTGATATTACTGCTACAGTGTACGCCGGAGAGCTGCTGGTGGTCGTTGGTCCCGTTGGCTCTGGCAAGGTAAATGTAGGAGTAATTGGATGAGACAAGCAAATGGTCAAATTTAGGAAACTTTCAGATTTGCATTCGAGTATGTATATGAATTCATTTTCAATTTCGTAGCTACAAATAAACATAGATATATACAGAGATATTCTGAGAAACTAATTTTCTTTAAAATTAACCAAACGGCATAATGTGATGGTTATTCGTTAATATAGAAGGGATACGACCGAGACGGTGGATTATAACCTGTAGTTTCCATTGGACGAGAGAGCATCGCGTGCTCGCATATTCGAGGCATACTTTGTAGTGGAATAAAAAGGACAAAGTGGTCAACATTTTTTGGTCTGCATTCTCTACGGATTTTGCCACCTGCGATACGAACAGTTATTTTTTTTAAATTCATTATGTGATCTTTACAGAAAATCATGTTACGCAGACATCTGCAATATTTTAGTTTATTTTAAAAACTTAGAAAATATTTTTCGTCGCATCCTGTAGCATTGTGTAGAAAGGTTCATCTCCATTTCATTGTTATTGGAATAAAACTTTGAAACTTGCTAAATTAATTCTCACTTGCCTCGTTGTGCAAAGATGTGTAGACACAGAGCAAATCCAGCAGACAATAATCGAAATATCGCTGATTAAAATTTCTTAAAACAAATGCAAATGTTATTCCACGAGTACAGAGTTCCCTTTTGCACTCATTGCTGGGAGAGCTGCCTGAGCTTCATGGCAGCGTTGATGTCTCCGGCAAGATCGCTTACGCCGCTCAAGAACCCTGGCTTTTCTCTGACTCCGTCAGGCAAAACATCCTTTTTGGGGAAAAATATAATCCTCAAAAATACGCTGAACTCTTACGAGGTACGGTAACAGTGAAGACTCCAAAATATCATACGAATTGCATTTATATACATATATTTTTTCCTACGACTCACTCTTATTGATGAAGGTGTCATATAAGTTTTATTTTTATTCCTTGTCCGAGAGAAAAGGAGCAAGTGTATTTTGATACTAATGTTTATTTTGTAATCTTTTGTGTGATCTTCAATGGTGAGATAATTTTTTATGATTAATCATTTTTAGCGCCATTATTACTACGAAGAGGTGCTGCTGTGTTCCAAAAATTTAATTTCTAAATTAGACATAGAAATAGGGAATAAAGTAAACTAACAATCACATTTTGATAGATTTTGAGGCGTTAGGACATATTAAACTGTTTCCGAGCTGACAATGTGAAAATGAACATAACACATGCATGAGTCGCACGATACTTATGAAAAGATTAAACGTCTTGCGAAGTTCACTTATATTCAAATATTTAAAGCCAATTGTAATTTATCAGTCTTTATTAAGGTTATCATAATTTAATGAATTATGGGAATAACTCCTAAACTTTAATGAGAGTGTTATGTGATGCAACATCAACAGTTTGCGGCCTAGATGCAGATCTCAAGCAGCTGTCCGATGGAGACTTAACGTACGTTGGAGAGCGCGGCACGACACTCAGCGGTGGTCAGAAAGCTCGTGTCAGCTTAGCGCGGTACGTAATTTTCATGTAGAATTGGAGTTAAACTCAAACAAACCATACTCATCTGCATCTGGTTCTTCAATTATCTTATAGTTCTTCTTTGTTGTATCTTAATACATCATTGATCTCAAGGAAGTTTTGAATCTATTTTCTTCTGCATGCTCGAACACTGAACGCACGTGACAAAAATATATATATGTCACTCATACCGGAGATTCATGTCAACAGAGTAAATCCCACAAGTTATCAGCCTAATTATATGCTAGCTTGTGTTTTACATCTAAAACATTTCTAACAAACTGATAAACTTGATAACATCAATTCTAATTGGTGGTGAAGTTACAATGCTGTGTGAGGTGAAACTGGATGACTGTTGTGAGGAAGTTAATTTAAACTGGTTGCACTAAACGCACTTTTCTTTGCTGGCAAAGAGCGCTGTACCAGGATGGTGATGTGGTGTTGCTGGATGATCCGTTGAGCGCGGTAGACGCGGCTGTGGGCAAACAGCTGTTCGACCTCTGCATCCGCGGATACCTGCGTCGTAAAGCAGTCATCCTCGTCACCCACCAGCTGCAGTACATGAGCGCCGCTCACAACATCCTCGTGCTGCTCGAGGTGAGACGGAGGCTCTTCAATACATTCCATCACTGAATGAATTTAAAACCTTGTAATTTTTTCCGACACGCACACTGTATTAAGGTGAAATAAGTGGTAATCTTGATAATTTTTCACTGCTGAGAACAAATTCCTGATCATTAACTTATCCACTACCGTTCTAGCCGGCCCATAAATTAACAGCAAAGGATTTCGAGTTGAAGTTTTGACTAATCTTTTACTTGTTCTTTCATTTGAAGCTATCCATGATATTATCACTATTGAAAATCTAGCTTTTAACGCATGCCTTTCAAATATAAAATGATTCTACCGATCTACTGAAGATAAAACCTGTCATGGTTCGTTGTTTCTTTTTTGTTGTCAGTGTATTACAATGTGAGCAAATAGATCCTTTGATCGAAGTGGTGAATTGATGAACAATTTAGATCTGAATAAAGTACGAGTTAGCTTCAGGATTCAAAGTCTTTCCATTAATGCTTGTTTACTGAATTGACCATGCTTCATGCTTACTGACTTCTCGAAGTTGGATAAAATGTCTAGACAAAAAGTAGTTAATTCCGAGCGGGAATTGCCGGGTTGAATGAAGTTGAAACAACCTTCGTTTGCTGCGTTAGAATAATATTGAAAGCTAGTCCAGAATTAAAATTAAAACAACGTCATCATTACAACGTGGAGATGACGTTATATGTATATATAACATACATATATGTAATGTAGGTAACTCGTCCGACGTTTTTTCGTCATTTAAATTGTGTCACTTAAATCGCATTGATAAATTGGTGGTTCGGCAAATTGAATGGGTTCCCTCTATGAAAGACTGATATCATGCTGATGAATGACCAGAATTCCATGTCCGTGAACCATTATGTCATTCAATTTATATGAGCATGGTATAACTGAGAGCTACATTAGATACAGACATATCATTTATGTATATGTAGCCAAAATGTAGGTATATATAGACACCACCTTATTCATTTACCTCTTTCCGCTGGAACAAATCTGGAACTTACACGAGATCGAACCTAGCTGGGAGCTCTAGCTTGCGCATTGCCAAAGCCCTTAATTAGGACACGATGCTACGCGCAGGATTAAAGTTCTAAGTACGTTGATAAATTAAACAATAAAATAGCATGAAATACATAAATTTTCTAAGATTCATTAAATTAAAAATAATCTTCCATTGAGACATACGTTAATGTAGGAACTTTTTGACAAGTTTTATATTTCCTATTCGTCACTGATGAGATATTTTTATAATATTAATAAAATTGAGACATATTCAACAATCAAATATCCAAAATTTTTGGAGTTAGCTAATATTTGACATTTCGAAACCTTGAAATAGAAATCGCATTGGCTGATTGTGCAATCATTTGAATACTGCTATGAGATGCTATGTAGCTTAGAACTGATTTCTGAGTGGTCTTACTATGTTAAGATTGCCGAAAAAGAACGGATTTAGAATGATAATTCTCGTATTCACTGAGTCTCTTTAAACTCAAATAATGCCGAACCTTATTATTCTGCGGACATCATGGATGCGATGGTATAAATGGAAAACTGTGGATACTTGAAAATATAAATTGCAAACATTTGACATGTCTAAATTATGCAATTAAATAGTCCCGAGACCGAGCATAATTCTACTTTACATAAGCTTCAAGTATCTCGTTTGAAATTAGTTTTTTCACAAGAATTTCATAATCATTTTATACCCTCCGACCTGATCTCTACATTTGTGAATGTCATGCAGGAACAAAGGTGTAAAATTCAGCTTATTTAATAAGCACGAAAAATTTGATTCAACAACCTGCACAAGAAGTAAAAAACCTTAGATTGTCAAAAGAAAGACGTAGACGTATTTAGGTCAAAAACCTAAGGTAGTCAAAAAAAGACGTAGCAAAGACAAGGCATAATAAGAAAACATCATAAGAGGAAAACTCATTTCTTTATATTATATTAAAATATTTTTCATTTATATTATAAATGAAATTTTATATTATAAATTTTCATTTATATTATAACATTTATATAACATATTTTTCTTTAAAAAGAAACTACGAGGATTTGGATCGGTTGAAAATGATGTAAAGCAGACAGATAAGACCATTACGGCATCATACCCAACCGTCGATCCTCTTGAATTACAAGCAGCTGAATTATATGCATGAACGAACTTGATCGATTTTTCTACCATAATTGATAAATATCATGTGAGCTCAGTTTGTGGATAAATTTTTGAAAGCGGGTGATCCATGCATCCAAGATTTTAAAAATGAAGCAGAGCTTCTAATGTGTATTTCCAAAGTAACTTTACAGTGTTATTCCACAAACAAATTCAGATTTCTGTGGTAAATATGGAAGGCGAGAAGATTTTTGGTATCAATAGCTACACATTATCACTAACACTGTTAAGAACTGAAGCAATCATTTGGAATGTTTATGACTATAAAGTCGTCTTCAGTTTTAATTTATGGATCATCAGGTGACGGAATGCATGAACTTCACTCCATTTCCATTCCACCTACATGAGAAAATTTCATAGATTCTTTCTTATTATTTTGACTTGCTTCATACTAAATTACAATAATTAATAAGTGGTATCATATTTTCCTTTGATTGTATGTGTAACCTCTTAAAGATATTATTCGGGATAGCATAAAACATAACTTTTCCATGCTGGTGTTTTCGTTCTCGAGCCTGAACCGTAAATAATAATCAATGAGTAATTAACTTAATATGAATACGGTAACAACATGATAGGAAAAAGTGAAACAATATTCTTCCACAGCAAATTATTTGTTTTTCTTCACGCTAATGTGGATAAATTTAGTAAAATAACCAACCATCCCACAGATGAGGCATTGACATTTGTAAACTTCTAAGAAATTTAGTTTTGAAATCAATATAATTTATATCGAATATTATTATTGAAAAATCTGTGAAACAAAATTGAAAGACAACATAGTTCTCAAAATTTCCTAATTATAACTGTGGCAAGAATATTTGTCCTTGTACGAAAATATTAACGAAATGTTGATCGCATGCATTTAACGTGTGATGATGAATATGACTATCGAACCCAAGTCTTCGTATGCACATCCTTTTCAAACAATATCACATTGTATGTGGTATCTATGGAATTTCAGTTACTTAATAAAGTGTCAAATGGGTTTTGAGCAACCAATGCCATCCAAATGCAGTTATGCACGGAAATTGGTGATGAAGTATTTGACAAAATTAATCGAATGTTCGATTGACGTTGACTGGTTGTTCAGGGAATTTTTGACACAACATCCTCAGCTCGATCTTTGTGTAATTGCACAGGGAAAATGCGCATTTTTTGGCCCTTTCAACGAACTTCAGAGGAGCAACATCGGGCTAGAGATGATAACGATTGACGCTATGAAGCTGAGTCCCGAATCATCCACATTTTCATCGCCCCGTTTCACCGTAAATATTCTACAACGAGGTACGAAAACTATTACAGTTAATCTTTCTTACCAGCTCCTACCAATTTTTCGCTGTTCTTATAATATTGTGAATGTGTGTAAAACAATTGGTTTTATGACAATTGCTTTTGATTCTTCTTAAGCCCCTCGTGAATTTAAATGTCATATTTCATTATTATTTGCATATCCGAGATTCAACCAGGTCTATAATCGTCGGGAAAAAGCCTCCCGTTATCCAAGGAATTTGTTTTAAACATGGCATGAGTCATAGATAACTTGTCTGTAACATGCATTTTTTTCTTATGACCACAGCACACAGTATCCACACAAACCGATCTTATATTGAAGTAATACACTCTTAGACAGTTGGACGCAAGCCGCACTGAACGCCATCGAAACATAAATTAGCACCATAAAACATCACATTATACTCTTCCCAGTTAAAATTTAGGGCAGGGAATAGAGCAGGCCGTCGCCGGCTGCAGAGCCGACGTAGAGACGCGACAGAGCAGAATGTCCGCTTTAGAGACGATATCGCCAGCCGCGTATCAGCGCTAATTAGCTACTGAGTACCTGCCCAAGTGTGCTCTGTCCTGCCGTCACGCAGCCCTTACTGAGCACCGCCTGCTCAAACCTGCCCAACGCCTGCTCTGGGGCGGCTCTGGCAGTGTACGCGGCAGTTACGCTTCACCGTTTGTCAACAACGATTTAAAAAAATTGTTCCTTTTCTCTCTGAGATCACCTTGACTTCTCTCTTGCAATGACAGGTTGTATTGACATTGGTTACTGACATTCTCTTCGTATTAACTTTAGCAACGTAATTTAGAATCGAACAAATTCAATTATCGAGGAAATATACACATCAAATTACTCACCGCTATGAACTATCTGCAAACGTCGACTGAAGCTCCGGGATTCGAACGCAGGTTCTCCGCGTCGTACTCCACGCCTGTACCAGTTGACCGCGCGGACACCTTACCATGCTAGGCTCTATGAACTACTTAACTATAATACGGAACAAATGACTCGCCATCATCTGGCAACTCGAGGAATAGCTATATTTGTGGTTGAACTTGATAGATATTATTCATAATGCACTAATTTTAAAAAATGAACAAAGTAGCCATTCGTATGATCCCGTCAGTTAGATGTAAGTGATTATTAGAGCTAAATTTGTTTAGTAATTTATCTTATTGCATTAGCTACATGTCATTCGATAGTATAATAGGAAAATTAACAACGTACGCAAATCATTAGTCTACTGAAATCGCAAGTTCTCCAAGACTTTTCATGCAAAGAAAGCGCCAAATAAATTTACCATATCTTCAATGAAAACGTTTCGGAGACCAGAACCGAAACGCAGGGAAAGTCGATCAATTTTATGAACCGATGATGGTGCTGGTTTACACATTTTCATTGAAAATATGGTGAATTTCCTCGGTATTTTCTTTGCTCTAACATTTACTGTTAGAGCAAACGAATTACGTTACTGAAAACGTTAACGCGTTTTCTGTATATCCATGTTAGAAAACTTTCTAACGTAATTCGAAGTATTAAAATACTGACGTGAAATAAATATCACAAATGGCACCGGAAATTGGCTCAAAATATCGTGCTATGCGAACGAACTAGATGGAGGATGAAGTTCATTAAACAAAAACACAGCTCTCAACAGCAATGCAGATAAAGAGTGAGAAGTTTGACCGATTAGACTGATGCTCTCTGTACGTTCACTCCCGTCACTGTTTCCAACCCCTACCACTCCTCCCTCTCTCAAAACCTCCCCATGCACGGCCTTCTTAGCTGCTCTGTACAGCTCCCTGCCGGACAATCCAAGTCCCAGCGCTGCAACAGCGCAGAGTTCCGTCCCTGCCGAGCTGCTAGAATTTTGTCTCTATATCAGCCATGGCGCAGCGCAGTTTTAGGGATAGATGGCCGGTTATAGTTTCACGGCTCCATCCTGCTAAAGCGCGACCAGCCCGGCTAAACCCGGCGCAGGTCTCGGCTCAAAATTTTAACTGGGTTTGAACTTGAAGCACAAGCAAATCAAATTTTTTTGATGCTCGTGCAAATATTTTAATGTGAAGTTCACATAAACGTCACATTCGATAAATTATATAAGTTAATAATATGAAAATTTTTCTGAACACGATCCTTCATTCTATTCAAGATAAAGTCTAAAAAAATATCTGTATTGCAGGACAATCGAATGCCTCTAAGTACGGGAGCATGGAGACTAACACCGACACTGAGAAAAGAGTTCCGATGGCTTCGAAAGAAGGTCTTGAAACGTTTCATCGGCGTCAAGAAAGAAATCAGGTAATTAAACTTTCGGAATCTTGTTCAAAGTCTGAACTAAACCGGATTTCACTGAGAAATATATTTTTTCGGTTTTTAATTTGTCATTGCGTTTTTAATTTGTCATTGTCATTAATAATAACCAAAGTGAATAAAACAATGATGAAGTATGTAACGGTTTCGCCGATTTAATCAGAAGTGCCGGGCCACCAAGCATGACGGGATTATTTGTGACGTCGAAGGAATGGATTTCTTGTAAGTGGGATCAAAGGTCAATGCTCTGATCCTTTCCCAGTAGGAGTTCTTCATCGCGAAATAACAGTAAATACTGGGAAATTTTATTTTTATTTAACAAGAGGTTATTTTACCGTAAAAACCAGTGTTATCTTTAAGATGAAAAACTCTTTGAATGACCAAACTTATTTATTTTAAATTTCTACAATTTGATGCTGCAGTTTAAAAGAGAAAAAATTTTACAAAAAATACTATGTTTCTGCAAAAATCTGCAGCAGTCCTTTATTCGAAGAGGCAAATATTCCAGTTATAATCTTATATATTTATATAAATTCCAATTCCAATCAAAATTTGAATATTTGAATTCTCCACCTTTATATTATTATTACGATTAATAAATTATATTTTTTCTCCATCGGCATTATGATTTTTTTTAATTTCTTGAAATTACAAAAGGTCCGTCATTCTGCAGCTAGGTAATAAGCAATGAATAACGTATTTTTGAATTGCGTTCTCCTTGCTTTAATTAATTAATTAATTAAAGATACCTGTTGGGTTCACCATTTTGTAAAAGGAGATAGCAAATTTTTGCGGCGACTTGGAACTCTGGCATCGCGATTGAACTTTCTAAAAAGGAAGTGGAAATGTCATATTCTCCTCCTCCTGTTCTGCAAGCTTGTTGTTTCTTCTCTCTACTAGCATCACGAGTTGCTAGATCACGTCTTTACTGATGCTCGATTAAAAAAACTGGGTTTATTTTGTACGTTGGATACCGCTGTTACCGAAGGTAAAATTGCTGTCACCTATTCTCTAATAATTTCCTTGTGTTTTTTCAACTGTTGTAAATTCATATTATCAAATAACTGATAATTTTGTTAATGCATTAATAATGAAGTAAATAGTATGGAAAGGTTCTTGAAAACAACTCTTATGTGGCAACGATATAATTTATCCGCTGCTGACGCAGGAGAGACATGGAAGTTCAACAGAAGAAATGCCAATCGTTCCAAAAGAGGAGCAGCGTTCGGTGGGCTCAGTCTCTTCAGCCGTGTATCTGCAGTACTTCCTCAATGGCGGATCTGGGGCCTGGATCACGCTACTCATTTTTTCAAGCCTCATTACTCAAGTTGCTTATACGGGATCAGATTTTTGGCTATCATTATGGTGAGCCATTGATTATTTAAAAAGTTAGACGAAAAAATAAGTTTCGTCTCGAATTACCTGCTATCGGTAAATGTACTATTTTCGCACAACCGTTCACTTCTTTTAAACAATTTGAAATGATCTTATTTGCATTATCAAATATGCTAATAGCATAGTTTATTGCTTGTCTGGCTGAATGGTAACTTGAAGAAATCTTTTGGAACTTTGCGCCTTATAGTACTAAGTGACATCACCCTCCCATTTCGTCTTTCGGTAAATATATTTTATTTGCCAATTCTATAAAATTTATTTCAACCTAGTGGATCATACAGATTTATCCTTTCAAGTTTTTGTTTTGCTCTTCGCACTCACTCATTGGTAACGCGTATGGAAAATATGAGCATAGAAGTAAAAATAGAAAAGTTTACTCCTTCTGTCAAATTTATGAAATTGACACATTAAAATTTAGTGAGCGCTATAAATGATAAACCTTTCTTTTTTGGTAATGCAATACACATCTAAAAATTGATTCAAGCTTTAGGAGCGTTTACTTAGGGCCAGTACTAACCACCAATTATAGTTAAGGTGCTTATGGCATCGTGTAGAGCGGTACTGGCTACTTGCTGGGCTAGTGGCTAGCAAGACAATATAAAACAAAAACACTCGAATTTTTTGGCAGGCATGCGATCTTCGGCTGATCACGTGAACAATTAACGTCGTTTTGTGGTATATCACACGGTTAAATTTGAAGATACATTGGTATTAAATAGTACTTGCTCTCCGTGATGGTTTAAGACATGTTACGTTTTTGTATATATGTCATTCATGTCACTCCACTGAACGTTTTTAATAGTCAGAAAAATAATTTATGCCTATTTCACTTATATTGAAGTTATATCACGAACATAATTCATTGTCCCTGGCGAAAACTCCATTTACCATACCATGAAAAACATTAGTAACGGTTAATAAATCTGTTATAAAAATGAGTATAACATGTAACATAATATAATAGATGCTAACGGGAACCATTTGTTAATCAAGATTTGATTAACACATTGAGGATATTTCACTTGCAGCTAGTCAGTAATAAAATAGAATTTTCAATAGATTTAATGTAGGACATTGAAGTCTCTAACGTAAGTAAAGCAAGGTACAATGTGCGCGCAAAAAAATGCAAATTGTTCGATGTCGGACACTGCAAACATCGGCAAACGTCGACGTCATTCGCAGAGAACGGATATTTCGTAAATATAATCCATTGTTTTTTCTCCATCCATCGAATTTTGGCATAATAAAAATTTATTATAGATTTTATAATGATATGATAAGTAATTTTTAACAAAGATTTCAAAAAGTGAAGTCAAATAATGACTTAAAACCGATACCGATACTGAAATATTTGTACCATGGACGAGGCTTTAATTACGAACAAGCATCTTATAGCACATTCGTTGTAACAGAATGGTCAAACGATCTAATTCTACTTTTATATGACAATAAATGAGGTGTTAATAACTAATTAATTGTTTCAGGACTAATGAGCTGCATGGGCAAACATACCAAGGCGCAAGCAACGGCCACAACATCACTTACCAGACCACGAAAAAGTTGGAAGTTGGCGTGTCATTCACGTCGTTCACTTTTGCGCAAGTCTACGGCGGTGAGTTTGCCCTTCATTTATTTTCAAATTTATCGTTATGAATTACACTTCCTATAATTTACAAATTTTTCTCACATAAAGTCCTTTGTTTCATTTTTTAAACGCTTCCTTATACGTCTAAGTATTTTTACTGAGTCGTATGAAATTTTCCGATGATCGGGAACAACAGCATTTAATATTAAGAGAGAATGTTTGGAAGACGAAATTGGTACGAAACACAGCCTAAAATATAGAACTATTGTCGGACCGGCATATATATAGTATTCATATACATATGTTCCAAACAATAATGTATTGATGTTCAAGTTATCGTGATCATATATATATTCCAAGAAATTGCTCACAATAATTGCTCACGGGGCTTTTAATGCAATCAATAAACAATTTATCCTATCACAATAAGATGCCTCAAATGATTTATAAATCTTTCCCTCTTTGTTGGGAGACATGCATCCTAATCGCGAGCCCTTGGTGTACAATATTATTGTCGCACCTCGCTCTTGTTTATCGTCATCTATATATCCCCAGGTATTCTTTACGGCCGTTTTATTTACCGTAGCGATAGCCTTTTAGTACACAGCCTGTTTTCGACACTAGCGCAGAGACTAATCAGTCGTCAATTAATTATAGATTGTTTGACACCAGCTGTCAATGTTTCAGCAACAACTCGTAGATCCTCATGGCCGTCGCTTATCGGAACCTTTTGCGTCGGGCTTTGGCTGTGGCCGTGCATTTAAATGTAAAGATGTTGGCTGATCTTTCAAAACCACCGAGTCCGAAATGAACTTTTGACGAAATTTTGCTTTGTTATTTATGCATGCTAATGATGTATTTATGACCGTAAAATGACAAAATCACTGCTTCAATTAACGGTATTTTACAAGTTCCTGTGATTGAGTCCGTATTTCGCATTCTTAGCAATCTCAACTCTGGGTTTGAAGTCATCAAATTATACCGCCCGAAGCTTCTAAATTCTTTAAGTTTTTATATGTTAATTAGGTCATCAACCATTTTCTGGAAAGTGCAGTATAATTAAGGAGATGGGAAAATTTATTACGATCGTGTAATAGGATTTTCAAGGAAGCATGATAGAGCTTGTTCTTTGTCAGTTCTGTTCTGAAACGTTCAGCAGACCAGTCTCGTTCGAAAAAATTATAAGCGCTGGTCACATTCAGTTCAATAATAAAAAACTGAACTTCTCATGATGTCTGAGCAGCACTGGTATGTGGCGTGTTCATTCTGTCTCTGGGACGGACGGTGTTATTCTTCATGATGTGCTGTGTGTCGTCACGACGCCTACACGACAACATGTTTCAAGCTGTTATGCGCGCGCCCATGAGATACTTCGATACTCAGCCTATTGGTATCTATATGCCATATAACTGCAATAGTTCCAGCATAGTGTAAAGAAGGATCTGGGAACATTGACTCATTCTTTCATAAGATCAATCAAAAGTTATTTATTGGGAAATCAATCCAATGATTTTTCAAATAAAAAATACATGAATTTCATTAGGGCCTGGATATTTTTAGAATAATTTTTTAATTCATTGGAAAATGCAGTGAAAAGCGCAAAAACTGCTTCTTGTATACATAGATGTTTTACCGTAGAGAAGTAGATTCGTCTAATCAGGAAAAGAGATGAATATGACGCATTCGTTGTAAATGCTTTTGATTTTATCTATAACGGATTCATCAACTATCCTGAGATTAATAAATTCTAAACGATCAGCATGTATAAGCAGGTACGGGAGAAATTGAAACAAATGGAGAGCAAGTTTCTCAATCATGTTTAATGAGAGACAAAACACAGTTTAATTCCTATAATAAAGCTTTAAACAGGTCTTATATCCAAATTTCAGGTCATGTGCTAAATTGCTTCACCAAAGATATGGGACAAATTGATGATCTTATGCCGGTGTGCTTGTGGGACTTTTTGACAGTAAGTCTCTCGTTTCGATATTCCACGTGGCTAGTGAACTAGATTTAAAAATTGACTTGAAAATAGCAATGTTTTAATGCCAAACATACAGCTGCATCTGAAATGTCATATTTTTAGTCTTGTACTATTAAAAACCTTCAAACCATGCAAGCCAGCGAAACTTCCCACCCAAACCTTGTTACGCAAGCTTTCAACCTGGTTTTGATGTTTTGCCTCTTCTTGTTTTCTACATTTCTTCTTCCTCTTTCTGGTCACTCTGTATCAACTTTCGTTATTTCTTTATTTCGCTAGTGGCACCGCAACAGCAGCAACAACAACAATATTGGCATTATTTTTGCCTTAATGACTATAATCATTTTTTTAACTTTTGTCTAATCAGAAACTGGCGTTATTATTTTGACTCATCAGTCATCCCATCATGCACATTTGTATTTTTCTCGGCAGATATCATTGAACACGGTGGGAATCATTGCAATGATCGGGTTCGTCTTCCCCTACATGTTCATCCCAACCGCCGTATTCGTCGTCGTGCTTATCTTGCTGCGACGTCTCTACTTGCACACCGCTCGAGACATCAGGAGGCTTGAAGCAATCGGTGAGAGTTGAACATTGTATGACGCACACAACTTTTACTAACAATCTTTTGTGAACAGGGTTTCGAGCTCTCACTTTGAACCTTCTACAAATAATTTCTCACTATTCCTTGAAAAAATTACGTGACTTTAAGTCAACTCTATGAAATCGTAATTTATATTTATTGGCTCTTGTTAATTTTCTAAGCTCATTTCCCCGCGGATGCGTGATTGAGCGAAATCGTTGCTAATTTGCTGCCGGATGCCTAAGGTGTGTTATAACTCTCGCTCTATATTTTATAGTATACCAGAGTATTGTACATTCATATACTCCGTTATACGCTGTAATAATTTGGGATTTTAGTTTTTATCGTTCCTGTTAGAATTTAATAGACCACTAAAACACTTCTAGACCACAAAAATTGTGGAGATAATTAATTCAAGTGATGACATTCGATGTCAGGACAGTGTATTCCATTTTAGCAATTCCTGAAATAGTCCAGGATTTTTTCAACGTATTTGAATCAAAGATGTGACTTCTAACTTCAAACAATAGCTCTGAAATAACCATTTGTTGAAAAAAAGTGGTTTCTAGCATAAGCCTAAAGGTAGTAACATTTTGCCAATGTTTTGCATATCATTGTACGTGAAAATGAGCTATTAATGTCTAGAAATAATCAGGCGTTCGAAAGATACCATAATTAATTAGCTTTTATTACAAACGCCAAGAATAATTTTGTTGCAGCGCGCAGTCCGGTATTCTCCCACCTGAGCACATCTCTGGACGGTCTGACCACCATCAGGGCCTCCCGTACCCAGCGCTCCTTCGTCAGGGGCTTCGATCATCTTCAGGTATGACTAACGCTGGCACAAACTTTATTTGGCCTAACCAGCGGAAGGATTAAAAAGCGTCCGGATTTTTGGCTCTGATAAATACTCGCGTGAATTGGATCTGAAAATAATGACGGTTATAAAATCAAAGATCGAGCTTGCTAAATAGTATGATATGAAATTAATAATGAATCACATAATATCATCACAATAATATTGTCACGATATGAAAGAACTTCGTAAATTGATCACAAAAACCTATAAATATCTGAATCCTGAGTGAGAAAGTTTGTCACTGATCAATATTCTTGACAAAAGGCTCTAAGAGTGCAAGTTTAAGTGAATAATCAATTAAAATCTGGGTGAAAACCAATGACAAAGTAAATGTACATAAATAAAACTATACGTATAACCAGGCCAAGATAACGCTATAGTAATATTTCGAAGTCAATATTGAAAAAGTAAAACGGTGATAATACAATTAATTGTAACCTAGCCGTCGCCTGTGTCCGGCTAACTAGCAATTTTCCTGCGAGGTGTCACGGCTAAGTGAATGGTTCTAGAGTGTTTATAAGGTTTATAAGGAAAAAATACATAAAGAGAACTTAATACTAAATAAATAGATAAAGAAATCCAGTTGTGCAGGACAATAAATGCTTGAAATAATCGTTTACGAGCATTTTTTAAACAGAACCATATTCCAACACCAAAAAACTTGAGTTTCAACTATGATTTAACTAGTCACAGAACCCCGTAAAAAATGAAATAATAAAACTAATTTTTTCGCTTCATATAAGATGAATCTGTATTTGATAATGATAACAATAATAGAATAGCCTGTATGAAAAATAGCTTTCATAGCATCACAAGTTTTTTTTCTACTTTGAAACGATGCAATGGAACAGTTTTCATCCAATCGATTTTCAAGTGTGAATAGGAATTAATTAATTTGGATTGTATTTTTTGTGCATACAATGTGAGCACAAATAGTTATTTACTCTTTCTAAGTTTCCAGGCTCACATTTATTTTCAGAAAAACATTATTTTATCAGGCTTTCTAGTCTCAATCAGAATCGTTTGCGTTCATTATTCCCGCTTTAGCATTACGTACAGTACATGTGAATGGCATGAAAGTTTTCTTGTAAACGGCCCAGTGCGGTTTGAAAAGTGAGCAAATTGTGTTGGTGAATCTGGATTAATTATTCAAATTCAGGTTCAATCAGTAACTTTAATTAAGTTTATTTATGGACGTCATAATTTCACAATTACTTGTGGAGCACTTGTATTGGCTACGTTATCATTTAATTCGCCATTTTTTGTCGTGTCTCCAACGCAGGACTTACAGCTTGAATGAAATTCCAACTAAAGAAGCAGAAACGAGTTTTCATTAAACAAACTTTCCAAATAATGAATAAAGGAAGGTACATTTGATATCCCACCATGTACCTCTCATCGGAACTACCACCTAATACCAACTAACGTAGATTAACGGTACCTGGTCATACATTGTAACATTTTTAAGCGTCGAACTTTTTTAAATGTTATTCTGGTCAAAAGGCTCTGTATAACATTTAAAAAAGGCCCTTCTGATCAAAAGGCCCTGTGACGGACCCCAGTATCTAGAGGTTGGGACTGTCACAAGGCACGGGGTAAGGCATTTGGGACTGTCACAAGGCATTTTTGGATGCGCAGGATTTGCACACGTCGTCGTTTTCGATGATTACAGCGACGACGCAATGGTACGGATTTTCACTTGATGGCCTTTCAGCATTTTTCGTCGCTTGCGTCATCATCACATGTATCGCTGATCAAGGTTCGTTTCTCGAGCAAATCTGCCCAATCATACATATGATAAGTTAAAATTAATTAAACATTGAGGGATAATAGTGCACATTTGATGCAACTTCTACTCAGGATTTTCTCCTAACGAAATTCCAAATTGTTTAACATACCTACGAAATATCCATTAGCAGAAGTTGCCTTTTTTCTCTTTTTTTAAGCTATTGATGACGGTGGGTTAATTTTTTTGTATGACTGTTATTTGAATTATACGGACTGCCAAGGTGCATCTAGCAGCCTAAAATGATATGATATTGACAGTCTACTTTTCTGAAAGTAGGTCAAACTCATATATATGAAAAATTTTGTTTATTTAGTTCTGTAATCAATCTTTTGGGTGCCATGCGTAAGGTTATTGAACTCTATAAAAATCGTATGTAAAGGTTTTAGAAATAAAATTTTGTTTGTGAATCATCTTCATAACTATGCGTGGTAATTTTAGAATCTAGCAGGCCTGTATGCCCTTGGACATAGGAGTCCGGAAGTATGAATTGAATAACCTTTAGCATTAAATATAAAAATTTCACCCGAATGAAATTTCATTTACTCACACAAATACATTTCATTTATATGAAAATTATTTGAATGCAGGTATTTTTGTACATGATTGACGATCGTTATTGCGACAAACAGGCCACCGCAGTGGTGATGTTGGACTGGCCATCTACTGCGCACTGATGCTCACCAACACCCTTCAGTGGGGCGTTCGGCAGTCAGCCGAGGTGGAGAACCAAATGATTTCTGTGGAGCGGGTGCTGGCGCTTAGTGAACTGCAGCCAGAGGCCCCACTGATCTCGGACGTAGGCGAGTCACGCAGTAGATAGAAGTTTTCCTAAGAGCAGGTGCTCTAGGGTAATAAAAAAATATCGATCCTCCCATCACTCCTCGGGCATATTTTCCATGGCTCTGACGGCCAGGTTCTCTTCTTCCTTCTCCAAACCCAACTATATCCTATACATCATAACAAACATAACTGTTCGCTATGCACCTATCCTATTCTTCTACTTCCTTTTTCGGTTGTGCTTTTTCTTTCTGGCTACTCTGTGCCACAACTTTTTTCACGTTTCTTTCGTGGCACTTCAACAACAACAACAAAAGGCTTTGCAGGGTGCTTCTAGCAACTTATCTTTTCAATAAAGCTTCCGAATATTGACAAACGTAAAAAAATATCGTGCATACCATTGACAAACATAAGAAAATATCATGCATGAAAATTTACAGTTCAGATATCCGTTTTATGGTACGTCATGTCTACAACGCAACTTGTATCACTTCAATTATTCTTCAAACACCGTGTAATGTAATGGAGTTGTTCTCAACTTCCCATGATGTCTCTATAAATTTGTGGTTTATTTTGTGAATATTGTTCATCTGTGGAATTAGTGACATGAAATTTTGTAATTGAGGAATTTCAGCTTCAGGAAATTTTGTCTTCACACATGATAGGAAAAGTTGACGAAGATGCAGATAATTCAATAAAAAAAGTGTTTTTGACCTGAAATCACGCATTGAACAATAAGAGAGTGGTTTTTACTGAACAAAGGGCAACCATTTGATCTTTTCACAATATTCCATGGAATATTCTAATCGCTTAAAAACCCTCCGCTTTATAATTTTGAACGAATTTATTAAGATATGCAGAATAAGTACAAGACTTTATGCATCTCTTGGCCTAGACTCATTATTATCTTCCCCTTCGACTTGACACCTTCTGTGTTTATTCATGTCAGCTCAGTTTTCCACTTATAATATCTGATCCACTTAATGTGTTTCAGTTATGATACTGTCAGTTTCAAAACTATTTTACCGATGCCGTTATATTGAATGATTGTTTCTGATAGTGAAAAAGGTTGATGTAATGGAACGCCAAGAGTTATGGAGGCAATGGATGAAATGGATGTAGAGAAGCACTAGTGAAGTGAAAATTTAGTCGGCTTCAATGAACGATTGTAACCCAAGTTCGTCTTAATGAAAGGATGGTTCATTAATGTGTATTATGACTATGTCACTTGATTATGAAGATTATGAAAGGCGATCATTTTAGTGGGTCGAGGGCACACCCAAATTACTCATCTTATCATTATCATTTTATTCTCATAATATATAACGTTGTTTTGTCAAGGTGTATTTAACAGGTAATAAGGAAAAATATGAATAATAATCACCTCAAAACCCAATCGAATCTCCTGATCTACTTATATATATATTGAATTGCTTATAATAATATTACCAGAGAAACGTTAGCGTCACCTGCTACTATTTAATGTTTCTGCGAATATTCAAATAACATTACAGCAAAATCAACTGGATATACTTCTTAAGATTAGGAGATTTTGTCAAAATTTGTAACTCTTGGTTTTCAGACGCCAACATAAAGCCTGGTTGGCCAACCACTGGACAAATTGACTTCAGGAACGTGAGCCTTCGTTATGAGGAAAACCAGCCCGTGGTTCTGAAGAATATCTCATTTACCATCTCATCAGGTGAAAAAGTAAGTCGATTTTATTAATTTTTAGGAAATGTGTGTTCCCAACAGAATAATATAAAAGATCATCATGATCATGTGATGGGTAAACCACTCTTCTACTGAAACTTTACTGAAAAAAATACCCAGAAATGTTCCCATAATTCAATCAAAATGTTTATCGGTAAAATTCATTCGTGTCGAAGCTCGGGTAAAAACAATAAAAAACAATCAAAATTTGCTTAAATAATTATAAAATTATATAGAACAATAAATGAAAAATTCTGCGTTAATTTCTATGACAATTTCTTAATGATCGTATTTCTTAGCTATAAGGATAAAGCTGAACTCAGGAACGACCTCATCAAAATGTGTCGAATTTTTCCATAATGTACTTCTTCGGATATGTGGTGAATGAACGCGTTGTAGGCAGCTATTATGAGTTTAATTATGTGGCAACAAAATTTCTCCGCGCTAATAACTTACATAGTTACCGGCGATGTTTCTTTCAGATCGGCATCGTGGGCCGCACAGGGGCGGGTAAGTCGTCGCTCATCTCGTGCTTGTTGCGCTTGACGGAACCCACCGGACAGATCAACATCGACGGCGTGGACATCGGCAAGCTCGGACTGCACGCTCTCCGCAAGAACATTTCCATCATCCCTCAAGTGTGATATTTGGGAATTGCCAGGAATTTTTATTTGTGGTTAGGGGATAACCTGGTTATTTTGAAAATCTGGTAAGTTGTGTAAATCACATTTTTCGTCTACAAGATGGGAAGAAAAATTAATTTAATTTGCACTCTAAATTTATTAAATTGACCTAACTTTAAATTAATACTTTTTCTCTAGCGTTTCAATTTTCTTTGCGAAAGTTAAGTTGTACAATCATTTTACAATTTCGCATGCGTGCATATGATATTAGCCCTATCGAAATGCGTATATTTTTCTCACAGGACCCTGTACTATTCACTGGCTCTCTTCGTATGAACTTAGACCCGTTCAACGAGTACTCAGACGATCAACTATGGAATGCACTTAACGAGGTATTGTAATCTAGTTGCCATTTGTGCATTATTTAATTCGTCGCATCATATGATGTAGAGCTAGAATATAAGGATCTCCCGCTTATAGAAGTTTACTGGAAAAGTGAGTCGTATTTAAATCAGGAAACTATCTTGGACCGACTATCCATTCTTTTTCATACAATTTGAAATCCTTCCGTCAGGGACAGCGAAATATGGCTGTTCTGCTGTGGCTGTGTTGATTTTTACCAAGTCATCAGAGCTGTGGGACGTTTCAAAAAGTGAATGATCTGCTCAAACACTGTGCTTCAAATTCCTGAACAGTTTTTTTCACTCGAGTAGCTAATGTTCCTTGGATGTGCGAAGGTGCAAATGAAGGAGGCGGTGCAGGCGAGCCCCGACGGTCTGGATCACACTGTGGAGGAGGGCGGCAGCAACCTGAGTGTGGGGCAGCGGCAGCTCGTGTGTCTTGCTAGGGCCATCCTATCGCACAACCGCATCCTGCTCATCGATGAGGCCACCGCCAACGTCGACTCAAAGTGAGAATTACATTGATTTCTAGGATATAAGGAGTTCGTGCTTCACTAATTGTTTTAAAAAGTAATTTCACTTAACGTATTTATGAGGGCAAATAATGATGAAGTAAGAACAGGCAAATGTAGAGCTACAGCATTGCTTATTACTCACAATTATAGATCATGTTTAAAAGAAAAGAGCAGCGTGAACGTACAGCAATCAGCAGTTTTGACGTGTATACTCATATATAGAAAGAGACTTTCTTATCCTGCATGGAGACACCAAAGTTCATAAAAATGCCCGAATTAGGAGGATTTTATAAAACGACATAAATTATATGTTCATTCTCTGATATTAAATGAAATCAACTTGCGAACATATTTCTTACTCAATTTGACCGTGTAACTTTGTATTGTTAATTGTTATTTAGTTGAAGAGTATAACACACATTCCATAACCGAGTGAGAAATCATTCTAAAACATTTCGTTCTTTTATAAAAAGAACAGTTTATGGAGTCAGGATTTCTTGGACGTTTAGTTTCTAAAGCTCAGTTTCAAAAGCTTCTTGTTTTTACATTTCATTTTCACCAAGTGCATTTCTTAGAGGCAGATGTTAAAACCTCACAATTTATTTTAGAATTTCTCTTCCAATTTGTCAATTGGGTCCGTGTGAACTTTAATACGAATCACATCTTCCTTGAACGATTATGAACTTTAACAATATGCCTCCAAAACTTTGCAATCAAAAAGTTTATGCATAAATTTTAATAGATATTATTTTACCTCTCTTACCATGTTTCACAATTTTTTAACTCAAGTTTGCTAAACTATTTCCAATAAAATCCAGAGAATACATTTTGTTAGGATCGAAAATCTGATGACCTCACGATAATAGATTCAACATTTCGATTGTTAAAAAATTTATATTTACTTTACCTAGATATACCTAAGTCTCTAAGGTATATCGAAATGAAGTTCCTGCTTGATTATCTGAATTTGGATAATGATTTTTTAACTAAAAGCTACGATCTTATAGGGCAGACGAGCTGATTCAGCAGACCATTCGTGAGAAGTTCAAGCAATGTACGGTGCTGACGGTGGCCCATAGACTCCAAACTATCATGGACAGCACTAGAGTGATGGTGATTAGTGATGGAAAAATCCAAGTAAGACAGTAAATAAGGTAATAATCTCAGAATTACGTTACGTTTTTACTCAGATCAGAGAAATATATTAATGAGATTTATCAAACGTATATGTAGTATTGATATGTATTAATTGTAACTGTACGCGTTTGCCATGTCATCAACAAGGTAAATAAACTCAGTTTATTTTAACTACAGCTGACGACTAGAGAATATAGAAAGGAAAGTTCATGCTTAATCCCATCCCCATTTGATAAAGTACTACATACCTCAGCTTATAACTTTTATACAAATAGTGATATTGCTACACAGTGTTCAACGGTACGTTTTCGAAAATTATGAAATTTACGAAAAAATTTTTTGGAAATAGAATTCATGAGAAGAAGTTAGGAAATACGAGAAAAAATAAATTTTCAGCCCCGGATGTTGATTCAATGACTCATCTAAATCTAAAAATTTGTTCTAGGACATTTCTTGCTACTCTTATGCTAATCACGTCAGGCCTAAATGTGTGCAAATGAAACCTCAAACTTTATTGTGAATTATCATTTGATCTTCTAAAGGATTGATTTGAACAATTTTTTTGTTTCAGTATGTACAAAATTTTTTACAAGTTACGTAGTTAAAATATACCGAAAACTGCACCTACTTCTGCTTAAACCCATCGTTCCAAGAAGATCTTTATCACGACAGGAGCTGGACGCCCCGCACTCGCTGCTGCAGGACCGCGCCTCGCTCTTCTCGCGCCTCGTGCGCCAGGCCGACGACGACACCGCGGAGCGCTTGCACAACATCGCAAGAGAGGCGTACAAGAAACGCAATAATTGACTACGCATTTCTGATCAATTAGTCATTCATATGAAAGTTCGAACGGATATTAAATTGTATCGTAATTAGATTAGACCAGGTAAATGAATCTTGAAACTTGCCTTCTCATATAAATAGAAGAGGAGCGTTGTTGATTTAAACAAATAAAGTGTTTTTTGTTTGGTTGATATATACAGTTTTGCCCTATTTTTAGCCGTGGTGGATGTTCTGCGATGCCATAACGAAAGAATGAAAAAAAAGAAGGTGGCAAATAATGTCCAGAAAGAGGATAGAGAGAAATCAATGATAAAAGACGAGGATATGCGTGCGTCACACGCCGGGAAAAACGACCCACAAACGCCACATAATTCCGAGAGACAGACGGATCCTCATGAGAAAACGAGCGAGCTTGAACAACCAGGTAACGGCCGCCTCCAGGAACATAGAGAGGCGGAGGCTGGAACATCTAAAGGTTAAAATTAAGGAAACTGAAACATGGAGGAGGCTGACCTTTTCAACAGAAAGCAACATGGTTTTAGACGAAATCGCTCTTGGTTGTCTCAGTTACTGGAGCATCATCACCAAATCCTGGCCATGCTGGAGGAGGGGGCCGGGGTGGACGTGGTGTACTTGGACTCCGCGAAAGTGTTTGACAAAGTTGACCATGGAGTGCTCTTCAGAAAATTAAGACTGCTGGGAGTCGGAGGTGAATTGCTGGCATGAATCCAGAGTTTCCTAACAGAAAGACTGCAAGCTGTCGTTGTAGGAGGCTCGAGATCGAGCGAGGCTAGGGTGAAGAGTGGAGTACCACAGGGAACGGTACTCGGCCCAATCCTCTTCCTCATCCACATCGCCGACATAGATGTGGCTGTGAACCACGATACTGCATCGTCATTCGCGGACGACACCAGGATACTAATGACCATAACGGACAGGAGGGACTGCGAGAGGTTGCAAGAAGACCTCTCTGCAATATATGACTGGGCCCAAGTGAACAACATGCAGTTCAACGGGACCAAGTTTGAGGTTCTGAGATACAGAGGTAGCGGAAGAGCTGGTATGGAGCACCGGCGGCACCGCTACCTAGCACCTGACAACTCGGAAATCGAAGAGAAACAACTTGCTCGTGATCTTGCTTGGTGATCACGTAACTGCAATAACCGCAAGAGGTAGGCGACAGATGGGGTGGATCTGGCGGACGTTCAGAACAAGAGAAGCGGAACCGATGATCACACTCTTTAGAGCCCTTGTAATACCAATTCTCGAATACTGCTGCCAGCTCTGGACCCCGTTCACACTCGGCGCAGTGCGGCTTACGTTATGTTATGTTACTATGAACCAAGACGAAATTACGGACATTTTTTTGGAGTCAGCTTTTAAAAGTCAGTCAACTTAATGACTGCAGCAACTGTACATACTATTAATAAATATTTTCGAAACCCAACCAAGGATCGAATGTTGAAATAGTTAATGAGAGCTCTTAGCTTTGTATTCACATATAGACATATCATAAATTAGGGTAAAAAAGCAGTTGACCCATCGCATCAAAAATGTTTAGTAATACAGAGAGACGACTAAACACACATTACTAAAGAAGAAGCGCATGCAGTAATCTAAAGTACAATATAAAGAAGAAGCGCACGCAGTGACTTGCGCGTTTAGGGAATTCCTATACATCGCACTTGGCTACAAGGTGTCAGTTTCAGTGCTTCACAAGTCTCTTGTAACATTACTTTGGCGGATAACGCCGAATGACGCTTAATTAGCGCAATGTAATATTCAAGCGCAATAGTACGACATAATAGCACGACATGCTAGAAAATTTGAATATCGATCGTTGCCGATGCATTTTCTCGTTTGTTTTCCCACGGTTCCGCTTACAATAAAATCATTACAGAAATTTATGAAAGCTTCGAGGCGGTATTGCTTCTTGTGAATAATGCCGAGGAAAGCGCAGTGCCATAGACGTGAGCAACACTGCCGTGCTATAACAACGCTGAGCTACCAAGAGGGCCGTTGGCTCGCAGAGCATCGCGCAGCGTCCGGTAATGGTCCATTGCAGATCAACACACGACTCGGAAAGATGTAACGGTACAGCGCATCCATTTGGGGTACTTCTTCGTTTTTTTCTATTGTGTGTTTTTCATCCCGTGTTAACTATAAAAGGAATAAACGAGAATGACGTTTCTCGATGCTCTTCAATCTTTCAAGCTACTGGTAGGTCGACTTCACTGCAATTTAAGTGCTCTCATGTGGTCGTTATTAATTGCCTTACCCCTTGTACAGCTCGACGAGCTGGCAAAACATCATCATTTCAGACACATGTACGTCATGCACTTTGCCTCACAGAGGAAGGCTCTGCAGATCCAAGATGACTACTTTTAGACGCTTATAAATCACATCAGAGAATTACAAAGCCGAACGATACCTCGAGTAACGATCGCAAATATACTGCGTGCACGAATCACGAAAGTGGATCGCAAAGCATTATGATACCTCGGGGCACGATCACAACTATTGGCGTGGTCCCGTTAGTGGATTGCAAAGTTCTTCCATATCTCAAGGTATAATTAAAAAAATCGTTTATGAGCTACTGTGCAGGAAATCCCTCTCGCGCCATTGAAATCATCCGAAGATATTGTTTTCGACCTTCATGTTTCATCAAGAACGTACCTTCAGTTATGAAATTTATACGCATACTCTCAGGAGGAGCGTTGTTCGGGTGAAGTGTGATGTTCTTTCGTTGATGTGGTAGAACTTAGCCCTACTTATGGTAGAATCGAATTTTCAAGGTAAAATGACACACAACGGAATGGCATCAAGTGTTATTCACTCAAAACACAGTGCGATCTCACGACAAACATCAATGCAGCACTCAAGAGCTGCATTAAGAAATCTTTGGACATCATGCGAGACTCAACGATGACCAAACATCAAAGGGGAACTAGTGCCCTTATGGGCATGACGCTTTCGCTGGTTTATCTAACTCGGTAATGCCTCGCCTGAGACCGCAGCACGGTCAAGGCGGAAACTGGCGTCTATGTCGACGAGTGAGTCATGTAAGGAGAACTGCCGCCTACGTTAATGACGTAGTTACTCACTTTGTAACTGACAACTGCGCTAATGACAGGGTGACTGAAGGGGAACTGACACCGATGCTGATGGTAGAATGACTTAATGGGAACTGATACGTACGCTGATGGCAGGGTGAGTTAATGGGAACTTATACCTACACTGACAGCAGTGTTACTTGAGGGGAACTGAAACCTATGCTGATGGCAGGATGACCTAATTAAAGGCAGGGGGTAACTTGAAGAGGAATTGACACCTGAGCATTGCTTCAGACCGTCGATGACTGAGCAAGACTGTCCTTTGCGCATCCTTAGCCCGGAATTTCAACTTCCATGTCATAACATAACATAACATAGTGATGTCGGCGCTGCAGTGTAGGCCTGATGTGGCCTGTTGCCGATTCTTTTCCTTTTCGTGCCTTGTTCATTGATCTAAAATCGTGTCATTTGACCGGATCTTTTCATGACTGACGATAGTTTGAAGTAGCTACTAGACTTCCACCGGGTTCGATAAGGAGCTAGGCATTTCAAATCTGAACGTATATTTTTCCATAGCTTTATCTAGTCTGTTCTTGAACGCGTTCATACTTCTGTCTCTTATACACATCTAGATGTGTATAAGAGACAGCCGCAGCACACCCGAGAACAATGGCCCACAGCTCAAATTCGGTTACATCCATCCTCATTGACGTCTAGGTGGCAACTAGTGTTCAAAGCGCGCGGTCTCAAAACTACCGAGTACAAAAGTAGTGTGAACGGTTGTGCGCGGTGAGGCACTGCAGCAAACGACTCAAAGCGCATGTCGTTGCCACTAGTGTAAACGGGCCTTTAAAGGAACTCAATACCGCGCTGCTAGCATTCCCACGTCTTACACTAGCAATGTCATGAATCACGAAAATGTAGCCAGCTTGAAACGTGCATGACTATATAAGCCTATGATATATATTCTATAATGCAGATCATCCGGCTGTTCGTTTGCCTCAATGCTGCCATGCCCTAATCCGCTCACCCAATGTAGGAAAACCTACTGGCTAGGAACATGACTGATTAAACTCGAACTCACTGCTCGTGCACGGGATTTTCTTATCAATTTATTAAATTTGACGATCCTTCTTCTTTAATACACTTATTTTCCTGAAAAAAAGCTGTTAGAATATCATCAATACAAAATATTTTACCGAAATAAAGTTTATATCTAAAGATACTTGCCCAAGGTTATTTAGATAGCAAATTTTAAAATGTGCTGAGGCGAGAATTAAATTATAGGCTACTACGCCAGGCTAATTTCCTGTGGGCTGATTGATCTAATTCAATGAATGTGATCTGTCTGGTGGTTTGCGGCTGATAATGTAACGGTCAAAAAGTTTTATAGGCTACTACGTTCTTGAGGGAAGGGATCATGATAGTCCATTCGAAGCACGGCAGTGGTGGTCTCCGACAGGCGTCCCCCATGCGTGATGATGAATTTCACGATCACAGCGGATGCTCAGCTTGTAGCAGCTGAGCTGGCACGACACTTTGCGAATGTTAATAACGGACGTCATTACTCTAATCCTTACCGTGCGACCAGAGCCAGGCATGAACAGCAGCCTATGGACTTCAGAACAGATCGCATTCTTCCATATAATTACAAAATATCGTACCTGGAATTATACAGTATATTACATTATAATAAGAAGAACACTAGCCCCAGACCAGATGGAATCCGCTACAAAGTGCTGAGGAAGATGCATCCGACTGCGGTCATGGCCCTCCTTGCTATCTAAAATAAAATTTGGTAGTCCCACGCATTTCCATCGCAATGGCGGATAGCCACAGTGATGGCCTTCCTCAAACCTAATAACCCGCCCCTAGAGCTATCCAGCTATCGCCCCATCGCCTTGACCAGTTGTGTGAGGAAAATACTAGAGAGAATTGTCAACAACCGACTTGTACAATGTCTAGAAAGCCAAAATCTTATCTTCCCTTTACAACATGGCTTTCGACCTCTCAATGGCACTACGGAAGCAGTTGTGCGACTCCAA